ATGAAGTACTCCAAGTTCTTGTGATCTGTAATCACCTTGAACTTCTTAACTAAACGCAGCTCGGAATCCCATTCCTTAAGGCATCGTACTACCGCGAGCAACTCCTTGTCGTGGATCTCGTAGTTGCACTCGTGCGCGCTATTCTTCCGCGAGAAGAACGCGCAAGGCCGTAAGACTCTATCATCGTCGTACTGTGATAGCACCCCGCCCACCGCGTAGCCGCTCGAATCGCACTCGAGCACTGTCTCCCGATCTGGGTCGAACGCCGCCAGCGTGGGCTCTGTAACGAAGATCTCCTTTAGCTTCTCAAAGGCTGACTGCTCTTCAGATCCCCATCAGAAGGGGACGTCACCTGTAAGCCTAGTGAGGGGTGCGGCTAGCTGCGCGAAGTTCTTAATGAACCTTCGGTAGAAGTTCGCGAACCCTAAGAACGATCTTACTCCCTTTACTGTCTTTGGTGCCTCCCACTCGCGGATTGCGGCTACCTTGGCTGGATCCATGCTTATCCCTTTACCTGCTTCGATAATGAACCTAAGGTACTTGGTTGTCTTGACTTTAAACTCGCACTTCTTGACGTCCACCTGTAGCCCTGCGGCTTGCAGCTTGCTAAGCACTTTTCGGACGTGCTCTTGGTGCTGGCGCAGATCGCCATCGGTGTAGATTAGTACGTCGTCCAGGTATGCTGAGCAGAAGTCATCTAGGTGTTCTCTTAAGGTCTAGTTAATGTATCGTTGAAAAGTACTTAGGGAGTTCGCCATGCCAAAGGGGGTAACTAGCCACTTAAACAGTCCGAATCTTGTTCGGAAGGCTGTCTTCCACTCATCGCCTGGTGCGACACAGATCTTGTGGAAGGCTGCGATAACGTCCAACTTTGTGAACTATTTGGCCTTGCTTAAGCTGTTGAGTGTCTCTCAGATGAGGGGTAGCGGGTACCGGTCCTTCTTAGTAATTGCGTTCAGAGCTCGATAATTGATGCACAGTCAGAGCCCTCCTCCAGGTTTCTTGGCGAACAATACTAGCGCTGCAGCTGGCGAGCTGCTTACGCGGATGAATCCCTTCTCAAAAAGCGATGTAAGTTCCTTTCTAAGGACTAGGAGCTCTCCGCGCGACATGCTATAGAGGGGTCCCTACGGTAGCTGAGCATCCTTCGGCTCTAGCTTGATCTTGTGGTCCACCCCTGGCCCTCGGTGCGGTGGAAGCTTCTCTGCTTGCTTCGGGTTAAAGAGCTCATAGAACTCCTAGTACTGTGTTAGTAGCAGCGCTCGTACATCTACGGGCTTCTTTGGTTGTAGCGCCTTGTCGATGTCTACAATTAACGCGGCGAAGATCTGAACGCTATTTAGAGCGTTCTTATGTCTACGAACTAAGGCCGTAAACGCTGCGGCGTTGACTTAGCTAACTCCTCCTTATAGGCGTCCTTTAGTCGACCTTACTTAAATGCCCTTTAAGTAGATAAAAATACTCTTCTTGGCAGGAGATACTGATACGTCCTAGTAGTTCATCCATCCCCTGCTAAGGTACACGTCCTCACTAGAGGACAAGTCCATCACGTATGCATAAGCAGTCTCTTCGTACCTATGCATCTTGAACGAGAATTAGGCGACCTCGCTAATCTCCAACAGCTTGCCGTTTACTCCCTCAATTATCCAAGAGGGGATCTAAAAGCGCTCTAGACAGTGGCGGTAAGCGAATCTCTTGCTAATTAGTGCATAGCATAGGCATCCGCAGTCTATAAGCGCGACAGCGTTTGCTACGTTGTTCACGATAAGATCTACGGTAATTGGTGGGGGACGCATATGCT